CAAATATTATGCCTTTTGGCAACGTTTTTCATACTCCTCGACTCCGACTACCAGCAGGCAAGTCGATGCCACGAACTCCACAAGACCAAGTCCGAGTACGAGTCGGAGTTGTACTCTTACAAACATGGTCATAATCACGCGTTAAATTAATGAGTTTAAATGCTATTTTTGGCTTTAACTATTGCAAACACACACACACACACAGCCACACACAGGTTTAATTGAAGCCAACTTGTGGCAGAGTGGAGTGTCTCAGTTTCGAGTTCGGGTTCGATCCGGCGGCTATGGCTGCAACTTCGTCCCAGTCGCTGTTGCAGTTGCAGTTGCAGTTTCCTTTTCCCCCCGCAAATTATGAGAGACTCAGAGCCAAGTTCAGGCTCAGGCTGAGGCTGAGGCTGAGGCTTTGGGCCAACCGGCTCTGACCGCGTCGGCTATATTAAATTTATTTTAATGCCAAAAACTCCAGCCAGCCAGCTTCAGTTCCAGCCAAGTCCGATCTGCAGCTCTCCTCCGCTCACATGGCCAGTGGGCATGGTTTTTTCTTCTTCTTCTTCTTCTGATATATATATATATATATAGATATTTTCTCCCATGGAGGCCAGCAGTTGGCCCAAATCGCGTTTCGCTAATTATTAACCCGATCCCTTTTTCCCAGCTGCCAGTTAGCCAAGTTGGATCCCATCGATTGCTAAGTGCAGATGTGGGGTCAATCGAGATTTGGAACAAATTTTGTGGAGCCATCTGGCATATGACTAAGAAAAGGTCAAAAGAGCGGAAAATGGGGATGCATTGTGAGTCATATATGTTAACGGATTTCCTAGATACAGATGAATCAATGGGAGATTTATGGCTAGGAAAGGCAGGCTATCAGAATAGCTTAAAAAATAAAGAACTTTAGATAATGGAAACTATAATTGTTAGGAGTTAAGAACTTTTAAGCTTTTAAATGCAATTTAATTAAGTTAAGACTTCCATGTTTGTATTTCCCCTTGATACCAATCAAGTCCATTATCACGCCATAGAAATTTTCTTATTATTTATGATATTGTAAGCCACCGCAACAACATCTGTAAGCCATGGCTGTTGTTGTTGTTGTTGTCGACACAACGTCGTCAGGCATATTGTTAATAATTTTTTAATACCACCATAATTAAGACGAAGGCAATTTGCCATTTGCAGTTTGTTATTTTTTTTTCTCCGCTTGGTTTTTGCGTAAATGAAATGAAATTAAGGCAAGGAGCCGAGCCAGGGGAGGCGGCTGCTATAACGAGACAACGTCAAAATCAACTTGCCAGTTAGTTATTACATTGGCCCGAGAAGTCGCTTGATGATTATTGGCATTACGTGGACGTGCATAAGTTGAACTTGCTGGCAATATAATTAATTTATACTTAAACTCTCTGACAATTTCAATGTTGCATGCAGCTGGTGCAGACGAAAGACGAAAGACGAAAGCCGCAAACAACAGCCAACTCGACACACAAATTGCTTGGTAATTTATTTGCAATTAATTTTGAATTAATTTCGAAAGGAACAACAACCAAACAAAAAATGCCTGCTGCTGAAAGGAATTTGGGTTGTTGGCTTGGCCTGGCCAAAACAATTTTTTGGTAGTGCAAAAAGGTAGTAGGAAGAATTTTTAAGGGGGCAACTTTAAACGAGTCTTATAATGTGTGAAAAGTTTCTTATAGGAGTATGCCACGAATCTAAAATGTTAACCGCTTAAAGACATGGCCATTTATCAATGCATCCACCATTTAAATTATCTGCCCCGAACCCCCTCCTCCTGCCACTTAGTACCGACAATGGGCCATCATCTTTGGCTCATTTGCAGTCAATTTAGCGCTCACGTGGTTAGTCATAAAAATTTTTGCACAGAACATTCATTTAATAAGCAATTATTGGCCGGTCCTCTTTAATATTTTGCTTCCCTGCCTTTTTGCTGTGTTGCATTTACGCGTCAAGACTTTCAACTAATTACAAACGATTTACATGCAACACAGCTGGGCGTACGATAACCAGGGCCAAGAACATTGGAGCAAGAACCAGGCCAGGTTTTTCGCCACTGAGCGAGCAGCCTGGATAATCCCGCTCGGTTATTTGCAACATTTAAAGCAAAATGCAGAAACCGGTTTGCCTCATCATCGTTATGACGATTATCGTCATCATCATCATTAAGGAGAAGGAGGAAAACACCCACGAGCTGAGTGAGCTGGCAAAAAGGCAAATCAAATCAAATCCGCTTGGCACGCACGTATGCAACATGCTCTTGGTTCTTGGCTCATTGCGCATGCGCGACATGCTCTTCTTGGCCAGAAGGAGTGCAATTTGTGAACAGCTTTTAATTAGCAGAGAGCAGGCATTAGACAACAACAACACAGGCCACATCCGTCCTCTGCTCGACTTTCACCAGATGGCTAGCATAAGGCCAAAAGGCTTGGCCGACGGTGGCTCATTAGACGCCCATGAGTCACCCAGCGGGTTGGCTAGCCGGCTTTCAAGAGCTGCCGCCTTGGCCCAAAAACAAAAATGAAATAAATAGAAAATATTTGAAAAACTAGGTACAGCTGCGTAGTCAATGGGTCCGCTCAGAGCAGGCCTCTTAATTAGCAGTAATATATCTCCGAACAAGTCAAGTCCGTTTCGGTTAGGGTATTTTCGGGGGTTTTCTAAGGTTTTTCATTCAGTTTAAGAACTTATTCCTAAAGAAATCTTTAGGATTTACTTAACAGCTTTAATGGAAATTGATTTTTAGTAAATTTATATGTTAGATTCCAAGATTTTAATGAACTATTTAAAAAGATTAAGACATTTTCCATTAATATTTAAAGTTTAAGTTTAACTTTCGGGATTTTATAAACTCAAAAGAAGATAATTACCATATTAATTTGAAAATTATTATTAGTTTTTCTAACTATGATTTCCAGTCCTCTAAGTTGTTATTAAAATTAAGTCCAAGTGTATTCTATCAACAACCTCTTTCTGTCCTTATATTCAAAGTACTTCTTTATTAATTTTCATTAACTACTTTCCTATACTTGAAAGTCTCAAAAAAGTGTATTTAATCGTTACGTTGGCTTCCTTTTTTCCACATTAATTTTGAATAGATTGTACTTATAACTTTATTTTTTCCCCTGGCCTCTAATTCGATTTTTATTGCACCTGGATTTTCTTGTTTGGCGCTGCCAATAGACAATTTATTTCTCATGTACACACATTTTTCCTCAATCGCCGTTCGAGTGTGTGTGCTGATTATTTCGCGCTTATTATTTTCCAGCCTTTGAGCTTGTTTTTTGTCTTATTTTTTATATTTATTTTTTTTTTTTGCTTAATTTTCAATAAATATTGCGGCTTTGTTGCCGCTTGTCTCTCCGTCGCAGTCGATTACTCATTTGACTGCATGCACATAAATTTTATGCACTTTCCTCCCCCCTTTTTTTCTCTATATATATTTTGATTGCTTTATTTTTTATTAATTGCTTTTTACAGCATTTTGTTAGTTTTGTTAGTGGCCTGGCTTGGGTTGGAGGAGGTAAGTAAGTAAGTAGTAGTATCTATGAGTGTGCGTGCTGTATCGTGTGAGCTGATTGTGTCATTAGAGTGGATCGCATTCGACGGATACTGAAAGAGACTCCGACAGAGACAAAGCGGGCCCAAATGCGGTCGAAGAGATACTTGAGACCATGCAGTGAATTGATTTGCCATTAGAATTGGGTCAACAATCGGTAAACGTTCGAATTTAATTGGGAATTTAAGTGGCTAAATTACAAACACCATATTGGTTATGGGTAAAGTGATATGCCAGGTTGTTTTGGGTGTAGCCTAATGTTTATTCTAAGAACTTATGCAAATTGGTAAATGTGATTATATATCTCCTATATAGTTTCCCCACCAATGCAGTTTATTTTCCTTACAGTTGACACACTTCTTCAACTTCAAGAACCCTCCAAGCTGATTCCTTTATTTTCTAAAACTCATAATTTAGTCATTTTTACGAGCAACGACAACAATCGCCCAAAGACCCAAAGGCACACAGAAATTAGCCTGAAATAAACTTGAAAATAGAACTCGCATTGATCAGCAGATCCGTTGTTGTTCTTTCTTGGTTTATAGCTGGCTGATTCGCCACCAAACTATTTATGTGCCACAAGGCAACAAGCAGCAAGGCAAAAAAAAAAAAAAAAACAACAAAAACTCAAAGCCCGAAACAAAAACCAACGAGGACATGCGAAATTTTTTATTTATTGCTGACAATTGCACAAAAGTTTTTTTCCCTTCTGTGATCGGTTTTTTATGGTCATTAAAATTGGGACAAAAATATTTTGACCGCGCTCGAAGTCAACGTTTGTTTTTTTTTTTGTAGTTCTTGTTGTTGTTGTTTTTAGCTGGTTTTGTTGTTTTGGCGATTCTAGAGCACGAATTCTGCCTGGGGGCAAAAGAGTTGGAGTTGGAGTTCTGAGCGCTGGGGCTTTGCCCTTGATTGGCCGGCCAGGTTGCAACATTCTGCGGCAAGCTGGCCCGATCGAACTGATTAGGCGGCTCCAAAAGCGGCGACTAATTAATGATCCGTCGCCTGGGCTTCGCATGCTAATTAAATGCGCTCAAGAAATCAATTTGACGATGTGAGGGCGGCACGAGAGTCTCGAGGGGATTGGAGTCGCCACTGGGTGATGTTTATAGATGAAATCAGGGGGACAGGAGCATATGCTTCTTGCAGCTAAAAACATATCACGCAACCTAATCTCAGGGGTATCTTCTAAGCTCTAACTTACCCCTATGGTGGGTTATACAATAGCGGTCAGAATAATAGTATCTACTCTATAAAAAATATTTTTTTTTAAATATTAAAAACATTTTTAATTAAGCTTCTTGTTAAATAGTAATAATTATCTTTTTAAGTTTTTTAAAGCATTGCATATTCTATTATTTTGACCGCAATTGTTGCAGTTGCTCAGCTTGAAATGGGTAATGCATGAATTCAGCGATTCTGTTCGACTCACCGACTCGGTTTTGATGTTGAGCGCCAGGACATGAGACGAGCTGTTGGAGGAGGCCGATGGCGGTGAAGCGGGCGCTGCACCGCTGCACGGTGACTTGGCGGCGGCAATCATCGAGCTGGCAATGGCATTCATTGGCGATCGGCTGCTGGGCAGCGGACTGGCCTCCCGGAGCGGACTACTACCGCCAGCTCCGGCTCCAATGCCAATGGCCATGCCCAGACTTTGGGAATAGGGCGATACTGGCGATTTATTGGCATTCGTGGAGCAATTTGAGGGCACCACGGCGGCGGTGGTGCAGCTGGTCAAGGTGCTGGTGGCCGAACTGGAGGATGATGATGATGAGGAGCAGGATGATGATGAGGAGGATGAGCTGCTGCTGTTGTTGTTGTTGGTGCTGTTGCTGTTGCTGCTTTTGTTGCAGATCATTGCCTGCATTTTGGTATTATTATTGTTGTTGTTGTTGTTGTTGCTACTGCTGTTGTTATTGTTGTTGTTGGTGGTGTTGGCATTATTATTGTTAACACTTGCCCCAGCACCGGGCATCAGACTGCCATCGCAAAATTCCCGCTTGACAATGTTGGTGGCATTGTTGTTGTTGTTGGTGTTGCTGTTGGTGTTGCCGCCGATGTTGCTGCTGTTGCTGTTACTGCTACTGCTGCTGCTGCCGCCGGGTGTCGCCCCAATTGCCGCCTCACATGGCAGCACCGTGCCGAGCATCTTGTCTAGCGTTGTGTACTGTGACTGTGACGTCGTGGATTCAGCGGCACCGGCAGAGTCCTCGCAGCCCTCGGCCATGTCACGTGTCACTGACCCGTTCGCATCCTGGGCACACTCCTGCAATGGACAATACGGAAAAGGGACTTAAGTACCTTGGAGTGCATTAAATATTAAGCCTTTAATGGCTGAGACTTAAAAATAATAAGAAGAAAGAAAGGCTTAAATGGTATTGTAAGGGAAAATGGGAATATCTTAAGGGTAATAATGGTGCTCATTACTAACTTTTGCTTCTGAAATTTGGGTTACTTATTAAGATTTTATTTTCTCAGATATGAAAGCTTCTTCAGGATAGATAAAACTCCATTCTTATAGCATATACTACATCATAACCTAATCAACCTTATGAAAAATACTTTCCCAGATATTCATGAAATGAAAAATAAATGTCCAATTTGGAAGTTGAAAACGTTGATTTAGCAATGAAAAGCTTATAATTATCAGATATCACACCCAACCTTACCCAATTTTACCCCTTAAATATCAAATGACATCTGGCTGTAGACCACCCTTACCTGAAACTCCTACTCCTGCTGCTATGGCCGCTGGGGGCCATCATAATTTAGAATTTACATTTATCGAAAATATTTCGTGCACTTAAAACCCATACCCAGGCGCATTAATTTCATTAATTATCCCTGTTGCCCGTCGGTTGACCACGGCAACAACGCACAAACAACAATAAGAGGACCAAGGATCGGGGAAGGTGGAAGGAAGTAACCCACACATGCCGCATAATTTTGCAAATGCAAAACGTAGCCAGCGTTTCGAGTCGTCGTCGTCCGTTTCTGAGGCCATGTCCTTGCCAAACCACGACGTTATGCACCGGACAACGAACGACTTTTACCGCCGGAATTGTGAGGAGGAAAGTGCACAGAGAAATATATATTTTAGTTTATTAAATATCAGTTTGTTTTATTATTGAAAAATCTTTTTTTAAAAATTATAAAGTACGAAGAAAATAAATTCATTTCATACTTTACTAAGAAGAAGCTTACTTGGCTTATTTGAAATGTAAATAAAATTCGTAATTAAAGATTTTCGCAAGTAAAAAAATATAAAAAATTATTTAAAACATTCTCATTTGGTATAAATATTAAAATAATAAAAATTCCTTAATCTCCCAATGTATAATTCGGCTTGATGGACACAAAAGCCGTAGCATACGGGTGGTTTCTGCCCAGGGAGGGCTGCAATTTCTGCGGAACGAGTAGGGGTAGCAGCTGGGTGGGTCTGCACATTCGTAATCGAAAATTTTACACCTACTCTGCATTATAATTTATACCCGAAGAGGGACAACTGACCAAAAAGTGTGCCGGAGGAGGGTCAGAAAGGAGAATGTGGCGAACGTGTCTGGCAAGAAAGTTTTCCTGCATACAAGAAAAAGGAAAATGCGATAGGAAAAATTAAGGGTAAGAGAAGGAGAGACAGAAAGACATCGGAAAATGTCCGAAAATGTTGTTCAAGTGCAGAGGGAAGGTTGGAAAGTTATCTGGGAAAGATAACGTTAATAAGAAGGAGAATTTCCAAAAGGCTTTGGCAGCAGAGGCCAAAAATACTCTCGTAATCGTCACTCAACTGAAATAGATTCCACTAAATGTCATTTCTTATGGGCTCAGGATGCAGGAGCAAGCTCCGGCTCTAAGCCGGACCCAAAGGCGTCTAAATTTAGGCAACAATTTGCACTAAAGAGCTTACCTAACTCCAGCCCACAAAGGAAACATCAATGCCTATGCCTTGACATTTGGCCCCCCTAACAAAAAAAAAAAAGAAAACACACAGGACATTGGGCGATGGGGAAGAAAAGGTCCTTCGTTGCATTGTCTGCAGGTCTACACAAAACGGGCGTTGATTTTAATGCATAATGCATACAGCCATGGTCCTGTCTCCTCCACTCCTTTAGTCCTACAATACCCATCCTCCCAGGACCTTCTCTAGGTGTATGTGTCCGTGTGTGTGCTAGTGTGCCTGTGTGTGTGTGTGTGCGTCTGCAGTTGTAATAATGCAAGCAACTGCACTCGGAACTCAGAACTCGGAACTCGAGTCGCAGTCGCAGGACTCAAACTTCTGCAGCTCGGATTCAGACCCTCAGTTTGCAGTTCCGATGCACTGTTCAAAAAATGGTTCACTTTATTGGGAAAATTTTTGAAATTTAAAGGTGAAAACTCAAAGTCAAATAACTCTTTAGATGAAGAAAACGTTTTGGAGGCTTAAAGTCCAAATCTACTTTCTAGAATTGCTTCTTAGAAGATTAAATTTGAACCTACCTTAATAAAAATCTAATCTTAACTTATCAAAGAACTAAGACTTTTTACTATTAAAAATAATAATGAAAATTCATCTGAGCTGATAATAAAACTATTTTTCCAAGTGCTGATTGTTTGTGTCGACGTTGGCCAGCCGGCAGCAGTCAACGAACGCACTTTTCCGGCCACATAGCCATCGCCGTAATGAGCCACAGGACGCAGGCGAGGGCGGTTGTTGAGGAAGGGGCACAGGATCAGGATCAGGGGTGTGGTATGCCAGGACTGTGCCTTGAAAGTTGGAGTGTGCAGGACATGCAATGCCAATGCCTGAGTCTGAGTCCGAGCAAAGCTTCGTGTTGTAGATTTTGGGCCAGGAAAAGGCAGCCTTTTTTTTCGGAGAGGGTGGTGAGAGGGCGTAATAATTAATTTCGTACGTTGCATGCAAATGTCTGGCCATCACCCAGTCCCCCACCCCCTTTGCCATGCTCCCTTCTCCCCATCTGGCATATGCATAAGAAGCAAAAACAATGCATAATATCAAGGGGCAGTAGGAAAAACAGAGTGCACATCGGCAACATACAAAATAATTTCAAGTATGCGTCAACGGCAAATGCCAAAAAGGCCTGCAAAGATGGAATATCTAAGGGTACGTGGATGGTTGCAGGTTTTCTAGTTGCAACTTTGGTGCAACATGTTGTGAAAGCAAAATTGTAGCGACAAAATGTGCAGCCAAATTAAGTACAATTTGCGCATATTAAAGTCTGGCCAAATTACATGGAGGCAGCAGCAGCAACAAGAGGACAAGCAACATGCAACAACGGCAACATTTTGTCGCTTCCTGCGATCGCGGCTTGCCTTCTCTCGAAATCTAATCAATAACCAGCAAACTAGTAGAATTTCATGTAGCACACTAAATAGCACGATTAATTATCGCCATGCTGGCAACTATAATTCAAATCAAGCCCGCTTCATTTTCAATGCACGCCAGCAACATGCCATCCGCAAATTCTCCTATCGACTTGCAAACGCATTACAAACCGGTCTAATTATACTCATTTTCTTAGCTGCTGCCTCTCGCTCCTGCCACATGTTGCTGCTGCTGCTGCTGCTGCTATAGTCAAGCTATAAATTGCAATTTCCATGCAACTTTCTATCGCCGGTTAAGAAGTGAGCTGAGCAAAAAAATTTATCATTCAAAGTTGCTCCTCCGCCGGATCACTTATACGAGTATCTGTAAGAGTTTGTTGGCCGTTTGGCCGTCCAACGAGCGTTTTGTCTTCAACAGCAATTCGTAGGCAATATTCAAATTAATAAAATCATCAATAATTTCGCTCCAGCTTGGCAAACATGTAGAACATGTTGCTGCCTGCTGCCCCAGCTGCTGTTGCAGTGGTGTTGCTGCTGCTCCTGCTGCTGCAACTTGTTGTAATTAATAGTCAAACTAAATTGTAGCACACTTGCCATCATTTAGAGTTAGGAGCCAAATGTGGCACAAAGCAATTTTTGATTAGAAACCGGGCACTGGAGTTGCCCCGGACCAACGGACATCGATCCCCCAACGCCCCCTTTGGCTGCCCGCGGACAACTTCATTTTTATGACCAACTCTGGGGCTATTAAATTTTTCTTTTGATTTGTAATTAGCGCAAAATGCATATTAAATAGCAAACGACAAACTCCAGTGCCTCGGCCTTTTTGAGGAAGTGAATGTGTAGAGGTTGGAAATGGTAAAGAGGGTAGGGTGGTGTAAGGGGAGAGTTTCGAGCCGTTTTCGGCTGCTTTCGGCCAACTTTTAGCCATGGCAAAAATAATCAATAATGCGCCGGCATTAAGTCATTGAGTTGAACTTATTTATGCAACATTTATTTACGCACACACAGAGCACACAGAGAACATAAAAAGTTTTGCAAGTTGCCTTTGTTGCTGTTGCCCCATTGCATTGTTTTGGGGTTGTTGCTGCTTTTCGTCTTCCCATCGGGGGTGTATGTGTACTCATATAACGGAACGTGCAATTTTCTTAAAAATTACACACGATTACACATGAAATACACCGGCTGATATATTATGGTGAGGTCAAAGGGTTTAGGGGTTGGTTAGCCGAGAAAGGGAACTTTAGGTTGTCGGCGTCATAAAGTTTCCAAGGTGTTAGGTGTGGGTGAGTGCAATTGGGTGTGTACTCGAAGGAGGGAAATTAACTGGGAATAACTTGGACTTATAGGAGTAGCTAGGTTAACAGAGAAGTTAGGTATACCATATAGGAAAAAGGGTTTATATATCCATTTAAATAAAAGGTTTTTAAGATAAGTTTTTATGTAAAATAAAGAATCCTCATGAGATTCATATAGTAAGGACCTTGATCTACAGCTATAATACCAAAACTGATCTAATTTTCATGAATCCGCAAAGGGTGAACCTTTCTTAACCAAATAAAAACCTTTATTTCCCATTGAAGAACCCAGAACAATAGGCACTTGCCATCCGGTCAGTGGACTACAGCCAACTGCTGCTTTTTTTATATAGACGCCCGATTCATTCATTCGCCATACATTTTCCACTCAAATCATTAAAAATATAATAATAATAATAATGAAATTTGCGTGATTCAAGCGGAGCACGCACTAGGCGATGCCAATAATAAAACAGCAACAACAATCGCTGGAGGCGTACTCAATACAACAACAACAACAACAGCAGCCACAGCAACAACAATAAACATGTGCAGGCAAACGCCCCCGGTGGGAAGTGCAAAAAAAGCGGTAAAGGAAGTCAAAGTCAGGCCCAGTCTGAAGCTGAAAAATCAACCCTCTCTTTCTGGG